ACCTCCGGGTTGTGGTGCAGTAGCCACGAGTGTCCTATGATGAGGGATTGTCGCCCGAGATTTGCGACCATGAAGCGGGCTCGCTCTGTATATCGCCCAAAAGTCAAGAGGGCTTCTAGCTCCTCAGTTATAGCTCCATTCTCATTTGGGGTTCCGTCGACATTATGGACAGGAATGGGCTGGGGGAGGGGGGTTGTCTCCAGGTGGTGCTTCCGGATGAACTCAGGGCTTATGAAGTTCCTGGTGGCTCCCGAGTCCAGGAGGGCTGATACGGATACAGATGCGAGGGAGGTAAGGGCAGTCAGCTTCACAGCGAGGCTGAGAGATCTTGGGGAGTGTTTGGAGAGAATGTAGATAGCAGGTGGGGAGACTGCCACTTCTGGGGCCGCTTCTGTGGTTCCCTCATCTCTGTGGGCTGAGGGTGCATCCCTCCTCTTTTTCTTTGCAATGACCCGGTGGAGTTTTGGTGCTGGTGGTGACTCACGTACATCATGGCATCTGCATGGGCTGCCCTCTGCATGTGTCTGGCGTGCGTCCTTCATGGGTTGGCTTTTTGAGCATCCTTTCAAGTCCGACCCCGGCTCCTTTTCCTTTGCTTCTGATCTTTTCATCACTTGGCCCTTCAGCTCCTTCATCAGGGTTCAAAGGTCTTCGGGGTGCAAGCGCTGGGTCTGGCAGACCTTGGGGTGCGGGCTCATCAGGGTTATGGGTGGCATTGGTAGGGGAGGGGGTCCGGGTGAGGGCGTGCACAGCTGCATCCTCTGGAAGCGTTGCCACTGGTTGTCGAGGAGTGTGGCCTCACATTTCCATTCGGCCCAGGTGGTGGGCATAGGGCAGAGCCAGTAGATGCTCTTGCAGAGCCAGGAGTTGATTGCCTGCTCGAAGCAGTCAACCAGCCCTACATCCCCTAGCTGTGAGATGGGTCCCAGTACTTCGAACTCCTGGATGACTCTGTCCACAGAGTCGCTCCCCTGTTGGATGGTTGCTAGCTTCTGCTGGGCTGTGGCCTCCCAGTTCAGGTCCTGGAACATGGCATCAAGTTCCGTGTTGAACTCATCCATGGTGGGTGTAGGGGAGCCTGCTGCCAACAGTGCCATGGTGCGTTGTGTCGCCCATGCCCCTGCAGTCCCTTCCTTCATGTAAGAGAGGACAAACAGGACTTGGGAGAGGGTGCTGGGGAATCCAGCCACACAGACGTAGAGGTAAATCCTGCATTCAGCCCTAAAGTGGTCGAGATTGTCGCTGACTCCCAAGAAGGGGGTGGGGGACCCCGGACCCGTGTCTAACAACCGGTGTATTTAGCACTGGGGTACCTAGATGTGGAGTCCATATCCCCTTCTTAGGATTAGATGTCCCAGCATCTAATCAACACAACAGGCTAAAGGTTAGATCATCCGAAAGCGGGAGCAGAACATCATAAGGAAAATGGAAGATGTTAGAGCACAGTGATAGCAGATGATTCCAGAGTGGAACTGGAGACTTAGCAAGGAGGGACCTTGGCCTCGGCAACTCAAGGGGAGCGCTATGCCATTGCTGTTTGTCCTGTTGGTCCTTAATTTCAGACATGGTGAGCAAAAAATCTCTGGGGGGCATTCTAGTCGATTTTAGACTGAGGGTGTCAGGGATGCATCCAGGGTGGAGGGGGCCCAGATGTAGCACCCAGCAGAGGGACCCTCTCGGGGTGCAAAGTGGGCATGCATGCTGGCAGGCCTGATGCAGGACAACAGTCCCTGGCCACTTATACTGAAGTGGAAAAGGTGAGAAGAAGGTTACTTCTTCGGTTCCCACTTCAGGTACTTTATGTACATGCGGCTTGAGTCACATGATGGGTGCCACATCATCCTCAGAGGCAGCCGCAGCCATCCGGGTGTCCCCACAGGGGATCCCGAGAGCATCCGCTGCAGGCATGTGTGCTGGGCACAGCAGGGAGCCATCTGGGGTGTCTGGGCCAGATGGGTCAATAGTACATTGATGCAAGGGAAAGTGGTCCATGTAAATAGAAGGAATAAACAGGAAGGGAATGATGGGAAGAATGAAATAAAGGAAAGAAGGAAAGAGAGAGGGGGGAAGGAGGAAGGAGAAGGATGGGCAGTGGGACAGTGGGTGAGGTGTGGCCAGGTGGACCCGGGTCAGGTGGGTGTGCCCTGACAGAGGGTCAATCGAGTATGTACAAGCGCCTATATATAATAGAGAGATGAAAGCATGAGAAAACAATGGGGGTCCAAAATGGAACAAAGGCATCTGAACAGAGACAAAGGAAATTATGGAAGTGGAATGGTACTGAGGGTCAAGGGTTAGACTCTATGGTATATCTGAAAGGAGGTAAGGAGGGCGAAGCCCAGAGGGGCAGGAGGATGAGGGGAAGTGAGGGTGATGACTAACTGGCTAAATGTAAAGAAGCAGTAGTCCATATAGGGGTGAGGGAGAAGTGCAAGATATACAATACCGACAGCGAAAGTGCTGAGGTAGGTTGAAAGGTTTGCTTACTATTTTGGGGACGGTACGTTCCGTTCCCCATTCGCCTCAGGCCTCAGTAGGTCGTCTAAATATAAGCTTTAATGAGCTGTATATTCAACGGGTAGAGGTAAAAGGCTACCGGCCTTTACAACTACTCGAGGTATATATATGTAATTTACATATCTCGCACAAATAAATAAAGAAATAAACACATCACTATAATGGGAATTATAGTGATGCAACATAATATAAATATCACTATAATCGGAATTATAGTGAAGTAAGGTTAATCCTTACATAGGTCCATGAAGCTCAGAGGTAATGGAGCTACAGAGGCAGGGTTGAAAGTCCGAGGAATATTGGCAATGGTGTTTATGTGAAGTGAGGTCACCAATGCAATGGACTTAAGCCGAGCTGGAGTCAAAGTCCGAGGTTGGGACCATGACAGGAGCTCGGAGTGGAGGTATGAATGGTGTCTGAATTCGCGGTACAGGATGGGAGTGGGAGGTCGTACCTTAGTGGGGGTTAGTTGGGAGAGAGTCGGAAGGAGAGGATGGTGGTGTCAGGTCCGAAGGTGGAGATCGGAGTGGATGGGGATAGGGTAGGACTCCAGAGGTGGTGGAGAGGAGGGTCTGGAAGTCGAATCAGGATCAGGTATGTATGGATATGACACCGACCCTCCCCCCACCCCCAGCAACAAGATGCCAAAGGACAAGGAGTCCAATGGTAAACCTAAATCCAACCTCACTGCAAAACTCAGCAAATATGGCAAGCTCATGAAGGAAGAGTGTATGTATGGATATGACTTGCTCAGTGATGAGTAGTGCCAATTGTAAAATTTAGGCTGAAACAATTCAGTACTAATGCCTTATGCACAATTGTACTTTGTTATAAAATGAAATAAATTCTGTTTATGCACCATGGGTCTTCACATGCAGGAACATAAACCACGAAAATTCTGGTGGTGTAGGGTATAGTAGGTTATCCTGCCTACTGCACTACAGTGAGGATGAGGACTCAGTGACAGTGACAGTTGAATGACAAACACATACACCATGTGCATTAAATGGCGCATTTTTCTGGTTGCTGTAGTCCGACATTTGTGCTTTCATGACAATACCGAAAACAACCACCTCCGCCAGTTTGGAATGATTGCTGACTGTCACTATCATGGAATGGAAAGCAATATTGTGGGACTTAGAGTTGGGTTGGGTTGAACAAATTCAGTCCTGGGCGAAAAATTTGCAGGACCCACTATGGAGTAGCAGGAATAGCCAATGATCCGCAAGCACTTAGACAATATGCAATCGATTTCCATCTCAGGTAACACTGAGTTCAATGGCGTGTCTATCCGGGCTCCTTCAATCATAGTATGTGGCCGGTCCAAAAGCTGGCCGCGCGCAGGTATACTAGGGTATCTGATACATCTGGTCCGGGCACTGGACGACTGAACGGCCTCTCTTCACAAGTCTGTCCACCTCGATGGCAGCTGACTTTCGTTCAACTGCATGGTGCGGTTCGCACAATGGACCCAGCTTCAAGCCTCGCTAGCGTACTGTAAGGAGATATCGACCCATCTCCATCGCGTGGGCGCCATGCTCAATTGAAAACTGCCACACCGGTGAACCCTGGCCTGGTCACATCGATAACACTGGTCACCCGGCTCCACAAATATATACCTCCATCCCCGAATAAGCACACGGGAAAATGATTACATATCCGACGACTGGTAGCTGGCCACAGACCGGTTATATCCGGCTCCGGCCGTGCCGTAATCCACTATCCCATTTGTTGCTTCTGACCGAGAGGAAATGGCGGTACACACGCACATAAGGAACGAGCCGCAATATCCCGCTTGCACAACCGCCACCGCCACCCAGGCACACTATTCCGTATACCCATACCTCCCCGATCAACGGACACAATTGGATAAGCGTGTGCCATACCACCCCCAAAACAAGTATCATTGCACCGTAAGTCCGCACTTGCACGTAGCGCAATATAGTCTGAGTCCGTCGATCGGGCACGCCACTCCGAGGGACTTTGTATTCCCTAGAATTATCAGCCTTCCGGCCATACACCCCGAACGATAGAAAGGAAAGCCCAAGCTCACGATCGACATCGTAATGGATTCATACGAAAGATGTCGACCCAATCTGCGGAACCGAAGTACATAAGGGCGGCGGCGGTGTGACGTTGCACACATAAAACGGTCAGCGAGCGCCTCTTTTCGTTTCAACGGCCCGATTTCCCATGATTCTGGATCTCCTTGTTCGATGGACGCGATACTCATGATCAACACCGGTACCATGTACTGGCCATTGCCCGACTCACTGCGACATCGGCGCACACGCTACAATAGGTAATGCCAGAGTAGTACATGCATACGAAAGTAAGTTCCACGGAACTAGACTCCATTGTCATATGGCTATTCATGCCATACAATCATCTTTTCATGTCTTCCCAATGAGCGCTTTTTCCAGATCGATTCGGTCAGGATTGCAGTTTACATGTTAAATTAACTCTTCACAAGGAACATATTCGGCTGTACCATACCAAACTCGCTCGTTGCACAGCCCTCCTTTTTTAAGGTTGTTTCAATGTTGTTTTTGCAGCCACAGAAACCCAAATGACCCGGTTCCGACCGGATGGCGCCGTCACATATACATTCGGACAACAAATCAATCCACACGTGGCAGATGAGACCTTTTGGGACCCCGCGTGGCCGAACACGCACCAGCGACAACAGGATCACAGAGTGCGTCCTAGAAGAAGAAATGAATCATACAAGAGTCCCCTCACACAAAAAAGGCACTTTAAAGTTGCGTTTCATTCGCACTTGTCATGCTCGCTGGCACAATGGCGTGTATCGATGGCCTTCCGCCCATTTTCACATGATAGCATGAAAGGAAACCGGAAAGGAGAGGCAATGGAGCCCCGCTCTCATATTATCAGACCAATGGTCCTGCATACAGTGATACAATGTGATATATGTGTGAATTCGCAGCACTTTGACCGGGTTCTTTTTTCATACGCTTTGGGGGGTTTCCGAACGTTTTGTAATCTGGTCAGATTTCATTTCGTGGCTAATATTAGGTGTAGCGCGGCGCCATACTATTGGTGCTCCGAGGGGGTTGGAGCTGGTCGTGTGGGGGTTCTAGCCTAGGCTTACGATGCTGAGCATGCGGGAACCGTGGAGTTATCGGTTGATAGGAGTGGTGATCACGCGTGGCCCGGTATCAGTTCTGGGGCTTCCTTATGAAATCTTCCTATACTAATACACCGGCATCAGACAGTAGCCATGTATATATAGTTAGTATGTACTATGTAATGGAACCAATATGTCGGATATATGTGCATGAGCTGCGTAACGGGCACGGCCGGCCGGCTGGAGCCATAGGTAATGTTCGCACTGGGATGTATGCGTATGCAGGCGTGGCATATGTATATGTACATACATATATATGCAAAAGCGCCCGAATGATCAGCAAAGAGAGATTAGGTAAGTGTAGTAAGTGTGATCATCGTCCAAATTCGGGTACTACCGCCGGCGGCACCTTGTGGCGCACACGCGCGGGGACAGATATCACCGCTGTAGATGATTTCTACTGCCATTGGGGTCAAGGCATTATAGGTGCCATCATGCATAGCAGTGATCGTGATCCGGGGTTAGTAGCTGACACGCATACACGCAACGTTCGATGAGTCGATGTGCAGTGGTCGGCCTTGCGCCAAGTAACTCGATCCGCGGAGCGGGCACACCGCATATGGGCTTAAGTAAAGACCCGCAAAAAAGCACTGCTCAATCATTTGATCAAAATGGTGCGGGATACCGATTCTGGAATGTATGTGATATTGTGGGCATGTGGTATGAAGAATGGATGCGGTGGCCGTCAAACCTTTGATATGATTGGCACACACGGATATATACAATGTGTACTGGTAAGTACATTCCGAAGACCCCTGAAACCGAAATCAGAAATCAATTGTTTTGAACAGCCCCTTCGAATTGCTAGCGCTTCCATTCTAGCTTCTGCAAACGCTTCTAGCTTGGCTTTTCTCGAGCTAATAACGTTCCTTCCACATATGTTATTGATATATGAAATTCAAATTTCAGATGCAGCGGGGGGGGGGTGTCTTCTGTCACCTGTGTATGCGTGTACAGTTGCGGGACGTACACTTGCACGTACTAGGTGTGGCAAGGGTGTGTATTACTATGGTCGCAAGCACAGGCGTGTGATTGTCAGTTGATGTCACCGCGGAGATGCCGGCCAACTACATAGCTAGCTCTATGAACATTTTCTGGTTGGCAACCGGTGTCATGCACTGCAACGAGTATTCCATAGATCGTATGATAACATTCCTTCTTGGTCTTTATGCCAGAAGGAATGGACTACCCCAGAGCTGTGACATCGAAACTGGAGTAGGGTGGACCCACGCAAACGTTCGCCTCGATCCAGAGACCACACTCGACCGGTCCACATCTGCACTTCCTTGCCACCAATCACCTTCCTTCCATTAGCTATGTCGCACCAACCACCTTCATTTCATGTCTACCTATCAACACTAAATATAACATTGCACATCATTTCTTCTCATCCCCACCACCACTACCTGATCCCGAAGCAGTTTTCGTCTGTGCTTTCTGAATCGCACAAAAAGAAGGTGTAAGCAATCAAAGCTCAGAAAAAATAAAGACGAAGTGGAAGCCTCAAGAGACGATTGGACGTCTGAACGGAAGCCCAACGAAAGTTTGGGTGGGAATCGGATCTGGTAAGATCTGTGAGATCTGTCGAAAACTTGACACCAAGCCGCCGGGGTATCTCCGGCACTTCCACACCCCAACTCCACAAGAAAAAAATATTCATCCCCGGGTTGACGGAAAAAAAAAGAATAATGTCAACTGGAGCGACATGATAGGGTGGGGGAAAAAAAGAGGGGAAAGGAGTCTCAAGTGAAGACCAAAAGCCGAAAGCAAAGAAAGTGCAATGTACTCACAGCTTGTTTCTGTCGCATAATCTCTGCATCCCTATACAAGGTCAGAGAGGACACGTCAGTATTCATTTTAAATGCGCGCAAAACGAGACGAGGGGAAAGAGGAAAGAGGAAGGCGAGCAAGGAATGCGGAATACGGAATAAATGAAATTTAGCCTGGGGGTTGGTGGAGGAAAGATGGAAATGAAAAGGAAAGAGCCGTCGATTAAAAAGGCAGAATATGTCAAGGTAGTTCAACAACCCGGCGATCCGGTCAAAACGCTCATGAAGATGATCAGCGTGAGAAATTTAATTGAAAACCAAGATTAAAAGCGACGAGGAAATGAAGATGGAATGCCAAGAGAAATGGGAAAGTAACAGAGAGGTTGGATGACGATTCTATTACGCTCCCTCCTCCCCTAAGACATTACTAAATTGCATAATGTCATTCGGAGAACAGACGAACAAGATCAAACGAGGGAATGAGAAAATGAGAAAAAAAAAGAAGTGATAATGAACGTGAAAGGAGTAACCGTGAACGTAAACCAACCGGCTTTGTTCAATGGGTGAATGAAATAATGGAGCCCGGGGTGTACGATAAATAGAAGCATGGGGATCGGAGGAAAGAGGGAGTGGAATTCGATGCGCGAATGCGCGGTTATAACGTTATGAGTCGAGGTCCCCCCCAGAACAAACTGAACGCTCTCGTTCAAAGGCTGGGAAACCAAAGACTCGGAAGGTTAAGAGAAATCCGGTAATTAAAGAGAAGAGAGGGGGAAGGATCGGATCGGAAGACATCGAGTGTATGCAATCCATACGTCAGGGTCTTAATGGCCCATGTGTGCTGAATGAATGAGCGAATGAAGAGTGAAGGAAATGATCAATTGGCAATGGGTTGGAGGGGCGGGAGGAGAGATGAACGCTTGGTGATATTATCTTCGAAACCTTCATCCTATCTCCGCCGAAGAAAGATATGTAGTATAAATAGAACGGAATGATGGAAGATTAGCCAGCGCTAGTGTGTCATGTAGTCTATTGGCGGCGTCGGAAGTGAGTGTGCGTGATGATGCCGATGATGATGATGACGAACGGAGGTTGGGATTCGCCACCCCTACTCAGTGGCTCTGACATGAAGGTGAAACTGAAGTGAGGAGTGAATGAAGTGAATGGTTGCATGCGTCATTATTGTCAGATAGGGGAAGGAATCAGCGCGAAAGATCCCTCGATACCGGATCCATGACGCAGAATTGGTATGCCATGGACTAGAATCCGAAGACAACACCGATGATGGGGGACGGGGGATTCGTTTTTGGGTTCTCTCATGAGGAAGGATCAAAAGGGAAGGAAGGGTGAGAAGGAGCGGGTTGAGGGGATGGGAATGATCATCGGAAGCGAATCTGATGCGGGAAGGTAACGAGCTTAGAAGTGGCGCGTTTCGTGTTATAGGCGATTATGAGGATGGATGTGTGTGTATGGGAACAAAAAAAAAAGGGGGGGGAGGGGGGCAAGGTATGGACAGGAAGTCAAAGCCGTTGTAAGTAAACTCACGCTTCTTTCTTCTTCGTCAAATTCGATCCACTTTGTTTCGTTTTATTCTGTCCAACCACTTTCTTCCGAGCTCGTAACCGATCTTGTTCTCGTTGGTTGCCCCCTGGAAGAATAAGATGTAAATTTTTTTTTTTGTTTTGTTTGATTAACGAACGAACGAATAGTAACTAAGATGAAGATGAGTGAATGGTGGAGTCTGGATAGATAAGCGACTTTGCGACGCCCATGCATCATGGTTCTGGGGCGCCTCCCGTCAAGGCGACAAGGCGAGAGAACTAAGCGCAAATGTGGAATCAATCAACATGATGATGATGAGATTCCCTTTCCCCCCCTGACCGCTAATTCTTTGTACTAGCGAGCGGGGACAAGTGAACAAAAAGAAAGAAAGAAAGTGGTGGCAGTTTCAAAGGCCCAGAATCAAGTTGACAAGACGACACGCACGAGTCATAATGTTGAATGGCCTCAAAACCAAGCAAAACCAACAGTTCGACCTTCCTCTAAGTCTCTCTCTCTTTCGTTTCCTCCTCGACGAGGCCGTAATCAGAAGTGGGAACCCCCCAAGAATGGAAGAACAAGGCAGTGCTGGGATGCTCAAAGCTGATCCCAGTGAGCGAGCGTCTTCTGGCTTTTCTGGATCACGCTGACACGTGAGTGAGTAAGTGAGTGATGGCACAGCCACCTCTCGCCTTTCAAGGAGATCTAGAATATTCTCTTTTTTTGCACATACTTACATATTGAATTCAATGTTCGCGTGTTGCTTCGAACGGAGCCGTACAATTGTACACATACAATCCATACATACATATATGGAGTACATAATGAAAAAGGGTCTGTGTGTGTTATCTACATGCAATACATATATATGTAAAAGAAATGAAATGAAGGCACCGACTCCCAACAAGAAAAACTGAAAAGGGGGGGGGAAACGGAAAAGGCAAGGGGTGAAGGGGGGGAATCAAGGGGGAATGGGAGGAAAAGCCGGTTGTCGGCTGGATCGGGGTGGTATCTCCGATGCTGTGCCGATAATGCATTTGCATTGCAACAAGGTTTGTAGGGTGTGATGGCACTATGTACATACATACTTGCACTTTTGTGATGACGACGATCAGGGTCATTGACATGGCATTCCTGCATGGATCTCGTTTTTACTTTGGGGAACCCTTATGTAGTACTGCTCCTGGCGGGTAACATTATGTAGTGGGTTATAAGTAAGTAAAACGTCTATTGCATGTGTCGTAACGTGTTCGGCTAAAGACGCATCGAAGCCCGGCCGAATATGTGCACCTTCGGCTGGACTTTTGTTCTGTTCGCCTTTCTTTTGAGAGGATTCATCATGGTGCCACGCGTGTCAGCGCTTAGCCTTGAAAAACGAGTGGGGGATCCAAAATGCTGGATCGACACAGTTCTGCCGTTTTTGCCGTGCAATAATAGCCTGGATTAGAGTGCAACCGATTATGTACAGCTGGTACGTATTGTAATACGCAAATAGGAAGGGACCAGCTATATACTTAAAGCCGCGGGTTGGTTCATGGGATGGGTTGGGAGGGGAATCAGAAGCAAGCCTATATTACGCGTGTGTGTGATATCTCCAATAATTAGGGAATTTATCTGCAAGTCGATTGCGACCCAAGGCGCGGTTATGTATGTATGATGACGATATGTACTATACCATCACACTCCATTTGTCATGTGGGCACCGCTAAGATGATAGGAAGGCAGCGTCATGGACGTAAATATTAATCATGATATATTGATAATTAATCTTCAGAGCACTTGTGTGTTGCATCTACAGTACATATACGTTTACTGATATTGTTTGCGCTGGCCATTCAAAAATGTCTTTGATTCATCCATCATTGACGGCGCCAAGAGGAGAGAGTGTGTGTATGTACCGAGAGTAACCACACATCCTATCGGCCGATGCGACGAGAGAAGATCGGCGGATCAACAACTCTCAAGTGAGCCTGGGAAATCCTCGCTGACACGAAAGAAGCAAGCTCTTATATGATATTTGAGGGAAAGATTTCGACGATTCGCGAAGGGGGGAGAGCGCGCCCAGTCGTGCATGCAAGGGGTGCAGGGGTGCCGGTGGAGTCGATCGAGTGGGATGGTTCTATGTAAAGGGAAATCACAGGGTTCCGCGCGATTGCAGAGTGTTCTTCGAATCAGCGGAGAAGGATGCGTGTTGACCTGCAAAAAGATTTTTGTTTCTTTGTTTGCGCGGCGTTTTTTTTTTTTTTTTTCCCTTTTTCTGCCTGCGGCACTGGAGCGCCACTTCATATTCGATTCCTGAGTTGTACTTGCATACTCTTCGCCGATGAGCAGATCAGAAAGAGATGGATGAACATTTGACTTGACAGCTTGTTGCATGATTCGGTCCGCATATGTGGACGTAGGTCGAACCGCCATCGATCATAGACATGTCGTCCTGGCATGTTACAATACTGGCCGCCTTCAGTTGCAGAAGTACATAAATATGTGTATATGACTTTGATAGATCAACGGAAGCGAAGAGTTACATATGTAGTTGGTGGGGGCGACGCCGAGATGGACGCAAGGGCCGCGGAAAATATTTCCTTGCAGAACATAAGGGATCGTGTGTGTGTGTTTTCTCATAGGTTAGCATGACGACCACAAGCGAATTAGCAGGGCCAACAGCACCTCTTCTTAGATCCAGAACAACCCACCCGACGTATATATATATGGCAAACCGCTTGCGCGAGATAATTTCGACATCATTTATAGTTAATAGCTGTATATCCTTCTTTGTGATTAGGGGGGGTTGGAAGGGGGGGAATTCGTTTGAAGCGGAGTGGAGCCGGGCTTTTCGCGGCTGATTGATGAGTCAGCGGAATAACCTCATCCAGTGCGAAGCGAGGGGAGGGGCTTTGATTTGAATTTACAATTAGCGGCAGTGAAAAAAAAAAAACGGTGATGATAGAATCAATGGGTTCAGAAATGAATTAGACATTGGGTTTGATTCAATACATATACATAAGGTTGCAAAGTCGTGATAGAGGCGTGCCTTGAGAGTGTGCGACGAGAAGTGATATAGATTGAAGGGAAAGGGGAAGAACTGGAGGGGAGAGAGAGAGAGATACATATGAATTCCATGTTGTTGGGTTTTTGAAGCTTCGTCTTCCTTTTTTTTACATATACATAATTGCTACACAAATGTCTTCGATTGATTGATTGTATGTAATGTATGTATGTCCTGGCGCTCCCGATAACGCATTCTTCGCCCAAATCAAGGTGCTTTACATAGCGGAAGCTCAACTCACACACTATTACAAGAGAGGGGTTCACATTGCTATTCGGCGTACATAAAATCCAGCGAGTTCGATCTTCTTGCTGTGCGACCCAAATTGTTTTTCCCGGGGAAGTCAAGATTGCTGGGCTGCTGATGATATATGCGTGTAATGAATGTATGTATATGAAAAAAAAAGGAAGATGAAGGGATTGCGACTGAAGGGTATGCGCATGTTAGTAATGAGTGCTCTGTTGATGTTCTTCCTTTGAGACCTAACCAGAAACGGGAATTCGCGGGCGGCGGGGGGGGGGTTACTTGAAGGCACAGCGACAGAGACCCCTGTAACCCCACATAGCTTTTTGCACGCGTCAGTGACGAAATGGGCAAGTGGTCTTCGTCCTGTGGAGCCAATACAGTTAAAAAAGGCACATGTGGATCAGAGTGGGGGCCGGTTGTTCCTTGGGGAATAGGGTTACCGCCGAGCGCCCGAGTTACCCGACCGGACAAGAACCACGTGCGGCTGTTGACATTATTGTAGTTCAGTTTAATTTATGTATGGGCATATTGCCAATTGGATTGTCTATGGGAGGCATATAGATATGTATATACTCTATTTGATTGCGAATTATTGCCGGGGAAACACGAGTCCCCTGCAACTCCGAAGTGGCGTTGTAAGCACCGTAACGGGTAACAGACACAAAAAGTCTTGTGTCATTCATGGGACCCCCATTTGAATTGACATTGAATCGGAGATATTTCATTTTGCCTAGGAAGGGATGAGGAATGAATTGACTTAAGGGCAGTTTTACACCACCTATTTGATTTTAAGAAAGTCAGGATATGCAATTCAGTATCGAACAAACCGTAAAATCCCTGCGGATATTCAAATTCCGGTGTGTAATATATCCCGCGATGAATTAGATGGAGCTGGAAGAAGACCTGAAATTGAGTTGGGGCTGAGACTGAATTGAATTCGAGAAATGAATTCAGTGGATTGAAACTGAATGGGCAACTGATTGAATACATTGTTTTCCATTGAATGGCGTTTTACCAACCTTCCCCCCTCCGTCCATTTTATTTTTGCCGATCGCAGCAAATTCAATTCTAACTCAATCCAGGTCCGTGACGGTCTTCCGAGCCGTTTACGAATCCACCCCAAATTGAATGCAAAGCAACTCAATTCGAAATTCCATCACAAGAGAACCCAAGATCCCTATTCAATCCCTGGCAATAATTCCAATCTTCTCATAAAAGGACAATCAACATAACTTTGCAACTAATTTTCCTTTTCCCCCTTTGCTCCAAGGAGAGGTCCCTTCCAAGCTCCTCTCTTCTCCTCGTCTCGGAACCTGTTTTCCGCTCACCAACTTATCCCTGCCCTAACTCCCTTTTGACAACCTGATCATGGCGTCTCGTCATCGCCGTCCGTCTCCTTCCCCTCCACCTGCACAGCAGCTCGCTCCCCATCACCCACCCACAACTCAACCCGCTTCACATCATTATCATCACGCTCACCCCGAGAACCAGTCCCTGTTCCTCCACAACCCATCCCTCCTATGCCGCCTCACCCTTCCCGCGGACCACCAACGGCTCTGCGGCGCACCCACCTACTATGCCCAGTCCTCACGCCGTCGGTAAGCGCTCAGCATTCAAAACAACCCCTCGTTTTCACACCCTCTCCCTCCCTTTTCCGCCTTTGTTGAGTATCTGAAGAGAAAATAACAACTGATGATCGGACGCTTTCTTTTTTTCATTTCACACAGGTGCTCCCCCTGTTCCACACATGCGTCAGCCTCAAATGCCAGAATCTCTCGTACGCCTTTCGAAAGCCAATGAAGAATCTTGGTTGGCGATAGGTATGTAAGCCAATCTCATATTCCCAGGGCAGTTGAATTAATTGACTTCATTATTAAAACGCAAAACGTCAACTTTAAATTACTTTTCCTTTTTTTTCCCTTCTTGATCGTCATCATCATATGCTGTGATTGTTGTTGTTGGTGTTGCCGATGACGATGATGATGATGATGATGATGATGGTGATGGTGATGAAGGTAAATTGGCGGAACGCATGAGTGATAGTGACAATGCTATGCGCGCCTACGAGTCTGCTCTTAGGCATAACCCTCAATCCACCGAGGCGCTGGAACGAGTGGCCGCCATTGCTCGCCAAAATGAGGATCTTCCAAAGGTGACGTCCATATCAACACACTACTTTGCGCGCCTCTGTTCTCATCTTTAATATAATTGGGGATTGGCTTATATGATTATGCTAGGCGATCGCACATTGGCAACGGATGGTCGAGCTCGAACCGAACAATGGCGACGTTTGGAGTGCTATGGGGCATTGTTTCCTCATGCAAGACGAGTTACAGAAAGCATACATGGCCTATCAGCAAGCCTTATACTTCCTTGAGAATCCAAAAGTAAGGGTTCAATTTTTGTCTGCGACCGCGACGACTTCGCCGCGTACAAGTTCTCGCCTGGGGGGGCTAAACTGCTTCAGGGTCGAGTTGTTTGTGATGCCGGGGGGTTCGTCGGGTTGAGATGACTTGGTGGGACGAGCCTTTGCTGACGTTTTCGAACTTTTTTTTTTCTCTTCCAAACTTCGTTTCGGGGGGGGGACCTTTTGTGTCACATTGCTTCAAATCTGCCAAGGATCCGAAACTTTGGTACGGCATCGGGATTCTGTACGATCGGTATGGATCGCTTGAACATGCAGAGGAAGCCTTTTCGAGCGTGCTTCGAATGGATCAGGGTGAGTGGTAACCCAGATCAGGTTCTCTCCAAAGGTCGCACCAGTTCTTTTGCTGGTTTTTCCGGACTTTGGGGGTTTTTGGTTCTTCTGATCTTGATTGAGTGACGTTTTGCATTCATATATTCCCACGTCAATATCATTATTAGACTTCGAAAAAGTGGACGAGATCTACTTCCGTCTTGGTATCATATACAAGCAGCAACAAAAGTATCAGGAGAGTCTGGAGGTGAGCCTCGAACCAGTTGCCCCCCCTTTTTTTTCCAGTTTCCTTCCCCCTGTTCCCCACACATTGCTATTTCTTCTTCCATCGTCTTCCTTTCACTTCCACTTCCACGAGCCAACCACGCCTTTTCCCGTTTCTTGTCCATCCCCACAACAACGATCCCTTCATCCACCCATTCAATCATTCATTCAATTGAATGCACGGCGCTTCTCACGTTTCCGAATATCAAATTCTCGCTCTTGAATTGACACGTCGCTCACCAACTTGCGCTATATGCGTGTCTCTTCCCTCAGTGCTTCGAGCGGATCCTTCATAATCCTCCTAGCCCGTTGGCCCCTGTCGATATTTATTTCCAGATAGGTCATGTTTATGAGCAGCAACGCGAGGTAAGTTCTGGGCCAACTATCAATTTTCGATGTGATGATGCTGACACAGCCATTTCGTAATCTGCTTTATTTGCCGGGGGGTTGGCTGATCTTGGTAACTCTGCTCCCAATCTAGTACGACAAAGCCAAGGCTGCGTACGAACGTGTGCTTCAAGATAGCCCGACACATGCCAAGGTTCTCCAGCAGTTGGGGTGGCTGTATCACCAGACCGACGCCTCGTTCTCAAACCAGGAAATGGCTATTCAGTACCTGACCCGAAGTCTTGAAAGCGGTAAGTTGCATCATTCCCACTCCTGATTCACCACCCCTTTCACCTGATTGGGGAGTTGCCGGTTTTTGTGTCTGGGCAAGGGCGTGTGGGGGGCCGCACAAGGCGTGTTCGTTCCCCCCAACTCTATCTGATGATCTCTGCCACGCTACCCGTCCAAATTCGATAAGACCGAGGCTGATTTATCTCAATTTCATTTGACCGTAGATGGCAGTGACGCTCAGAGCTGGTACCTCCTTGGCCGGGCCTATATGGCCGGACAGAAATATCAAAAAGCATATGAAGCCTATCAACAAGCTGTGTATCGCGACGGCCGCAATCCAACCTTTTGGTGCAGCATCGGTGTGCTCTATTACAACATCAACCAGTATCGTGATGCCCTTGATGCGTACTCACGTGCGATTCGCATCAATCCGTACATCTCGGAGGTCTGGTTTGACCTTGGAAGCTTGTACGAGAGTTGCAACAATCAAATCACGGATGCTATCGATGCATATTCTCGAGCTGCAGAATTGGATTCAAGCAACCAGGTGATCAAGCAGCGATTGGCCTTGCTCAAGGAGGCTCAGCGAACGGGAGGCTCCCTTCCTGCTGCTCCTGGACCTCAAGATGTTCATCCCACTGCTTACGCTACCGTCGGACCTCCTACAGGACTTCCTTCGGGGGCGCAGGTTGCTTCCCCTACCACAGCTCCTCGGCCTCACCCTGCTCATGCTCAACCTGTTCACCCAAATGGCCATCCCGAGAATGGCGCTAGAGGGATGAACGGACGGGATTTACCAGCTCCTCCGCCACAAATGCCTGCCAATGGGAGAATGGCCACGCCTGATCCTCAGCAGATGAGGCCTGAGGGCGATCCGTTCCGTGGGGGTCCTCCGCCTCTGAACATTGATGAGAAGAATGGGGACCGCATGATGGGTGGTCGACCACCGCATTCACATCGTACTGGTGGGCCCAATGCTGAGAGGGAGCGCCTTGCGCCTATGGAATTCGAACGAACATATGCTGAACGTCGTGAGACTATGCCGCCTGTCCGTCCTGGTTCGACGGGCACGATTCCCCTTCATCATCCTCAACCACAAGCTCAGATGTCCATCAATCAAATGCAGCAGCAACCCAACGGTGCGCCGCTTAACGGACATCGGTCTGGTGGTCATCCCCCGTCATCGCGTAATCATTCCGGGCGCCACACCCCCGACCGATCACCACCAATGATGTATCAGGGCCGTGAGAGGATGGATCGTGGTAACGATCGTATGGAGCTCTCACCGCAGGCTCATTCTGCCCAGACTCGTGGAGGGCTTCAATTCTCAAGTCAACTCCCACCGCCGCCTTCCACACTTGTGAATCCGGGTCCGTACTACCCTTACGCTGATAGCACTCGTTCGAGTACCCCTAGTGAGCGGGGACGTGATCGCGAGCCGCCAGGAGGACCCGAACCTGGATGGGGCCGCCGCAGTGAGCGGCATCGCGAGACGCCACCGATGCATCCTCGTGGAGGACCTCCGCACAGCAATAGTCGAGATTCGCCATATTTTCAGCCCGTTCCCGAGGGACGACGACCTCCGTCACCTTCGTATCCTCCCCGTGGACATCGTGAACCTCAACCTCCACCTCCACCTGACCCCTATCGCTCGCCTCCACATGACACTCGTATGGATCATCGCATGGACCGGGCCCCTTCTCCATATGATGATCGCCATCATCCTGGTCCTTCAGCTCAGCAGCAACATAATCTCCACCCGAAGCCTCCCCAACAAGTTCAGGCTGCTCCTCCCCCGCCACCTCCTCCCCAATCGCGCCGGTATGATCCAAGACTCGACGAAGGTCCATCTCAAGTTCCTCCGCACGGTTCCAGATCGCGAGGTGGATCTTGGGGTGAATCGGAACGTGATCGTGTTGATTTTAGTCCACAACCCACTCGAAGTCATCCGGAGGTGTCTTCTCCTGAGGTGGCATCGCTGAATGGAGGTCGACGTCGGGTAGAACTTGTATCGGGTAGTGGTGGACCTGTGGTCGATACTCATCGTAGTGAGCCCCCGAGTCCGGATCAGAGTGCTCCACCTCAGCCTCCCCATGGTGGGTCGTTGATTAGTATTCAGTCTGGTGAGCCTACGAGAGAAAGGAGGAGAAGAGGAGCCGCGGGGGCAAGAGAGAAGGAGGAAAAGTTCCTAGCAGTCGGGACAGGAGGGATCGCAAGTCGGCGGGGAAGAGGGGGAAGGAGGGTTCGACGTCGTCTAGTACCGTCTCGGGTGCAGCGTCTCGAGAGGACTCGACTACTTACAGCGGTGGTCGGAGAGGGCGAGCAGTTATTTCTTCACCTGCTCCCAAAGAATCGGTAACGAAGGCTTTTAGTCATGGAAGACGTTCGAATTACTCACTGACTGGTTTGCAGTCTGACTCCCCTCCAGAACTTCCCCGACGTGTTGTAGATGAAGATTATGATGATGCTGCCGAGGCTCTGGTGGGCCTTTCGACGTCGAGACCTGCAATTCCTATCAAGTCACCTTCGATCGCGACGAGTGATGTTCTTGAACGTGGTTTGCCTAACAGGACGAATAGCATTGCTTCGATCATTCACAGTGATGCATCTGATACTGCTATGCGATCGCCGACGGAGGGACAACCGACTCGCGTTTCAACACCCAAACGCCAGCGAGCCTCTTCACCCCATGAGCCAAATAAACGGACACGTATCGAAGTGTTAAATGCGCGGCAGCCACCTCACCCATCTGTCTCACATCCTCATGCTTCTAATCGATCACCATCTTCTTCGCCGCCACCTCATCCCGCCTCCCGACTGACTCCTATCCCGATGGCATCGAGGTTCCAACATGATGCTCAGATGCGTTCGCCAACCCGCTCGTCGACCTCATCCGAGAAGGAACCTTCACCTACATCTGATGCGAAGTTGTCACAAGTACGATCGGCAATGGTAGGTACGTCCAATGGAAGTCCTTCTGTGAACACCACATCAAATCCTCCTTTACCTGCCATTGCCACATTATCCCCTCCACTTTCACCAAAGACGAATACTGAGAACGCTGATGGCGATCGTGCAAGATCCGAAGCTGCAAGTGATATGCTGATGGATTCAAGCGCTTCGAGCTCTTCCCCACCAAGGTCTGCGAAGACAGGATCGGGTAGTCCTGCGATCACGAAGAAGACGTCACCTCGTTCCGCATCAAAAGCCGATGGTGATAGTAAGGGGGTGGATGGTAAATCCGAGGGTGTAGGGACTGCTTAATGTTGGATTTATGTGGACTCGCCTCGAGAGTCCTATTTGACGCGTTGATAAGGTTCTCTCTATCAAAATGTTCTGTTTTGCTTTTACACGACCTTTTCCTTCTTGGCAAAAAGTCTATGGACTTGCATGTTCTCCAACATACCCCCATCTCTGGGCTCTTGTCTCACTGTTTGTTTGTTTGTTTGTTTGTTTCCCTGTCTGTCTGATTCTTTCCTTTCCTTTTCCATATGTGCACTCTATCTAGGCAAACTAGTTATGCTTTCGTTCCCAATGCAATCACAATCATGCTTCTCGTGTTGAACCTGAATTTCCCATATCGACTACAATAGCGTGGTGGGATCCATAGGCTCAATTATCATCCTTCCCTCTGACAGCAAGGGCTTCGTGAAGCGGGCGATCCTATTTCTGGGGAGTGCAACAAAGCCATTTTCCCCTCGGATCACATCTCCTTCGACTTGTAACTGCTATTTGTGATCAACACACTCAACCAACTTCTTTGGGGAGATAGAAAGAAGTGGAAGAGCCTCGGGGTCGTCCGACCAAGGCGTACTACTATGTGTGCAACTCACGACACTGAATTCGATGCTTTGTTCGCAAGAGCCCGATGAACTGGAGAGGGAGTTCAATCACTTGCACTTCCTCACACGAGAGTTACACCCCATTTCCCGTTTCTAACTTACGTCTGTGAGTGAGCCGCTGGGAGACGCGTTGCCTTATCCAGAGCGCAGTGTACAACACGATCGGATCCGATGCTACACGACTTGCACGATTCCTCTCTTGTATGGTTTAAGCCTGCTAGGGACCTCCCTCTGCTTTGTCGTGGCGACAGGGAGACAGGCCTAGCTTGTTTCACCTCGCCTTGTCACCCACCCGGTCTCGGGCCGGATTCCGCAAGATGCTCACTCTGCGCGGTTCCGAGAGATCTAACCTGGGTCCCATGACCACAGTGGCCTGGGGTCGGGTTTCATTCGCCCTCTGCTTGCCCTTTTCCCGCTTGTCCTTACGGTAAGTAAGGCTTTAGCGACTTTCGGCATCCTAAACTTACTTCCAGTCTAGTTTCCAACTGCGTGCCGCTCTGCAACCTCGCCGCCTGCTGTTAGCCTGCTTGGCCCTTCTAGGTGAAATAAGGGATAAGTTACATAGCGCGGGTCTCTGAACCCACCACGCTACTTCCTCGCACTTGGTATACCCTTAACTTGCAGTTCGGCGTGTTGTTACTGATGCAACTTAGGACCATGCCTTCCTCCACTGATGCAAACTGGCCAGAAAGCATACTGAAGTTGTTCGAGTCCGTTCGTATCCTACCACCTTACCGTCGCTATCCCGCACCTTTCAACAGGCTCCTCCACCATGTTGTCGCTGATGATTCGTACTCCCTCTTCGTTTCCATGCACAACACCCCCTATGACACGGCTCCGCTCGACCCCACAGACTTTTTTGTCTTTTATTTGGTTACCACTCAACAGCAGGAGCCGGTTCTCATTGTGGGGATTAAAGACGACAGATCCGACGGACTTATTACGCGCCTGAAGGCGGATGCCCAGATACGCCAATGGTACGAAGAGTTGCTTTGCCATTGCCCCATTCCTCGCCTGTATGGATTGAGCCTGCTGGGTACTTCCCTTCGCATTTATTGTGGCCATAAGGACACAGGCGATATTACACCTTGCATTGTTGACCGCCCCAGTGCGGATTGTGTTTTGCCACTTGACTTCTTGGAGGGGGAGTGGGATTTAGACCTCATGTCTCCGGCTGGATTCAACAGGATGCAGGAGATTGCTGCATATGTCAAGGCCGAAGTCGCCAATATTGAGAATGAGGTAGAGGCTTGCCAGCTCTGAACCAAGTTATCTCGTTCTCCGTGATGTAAATTCTACTCCCATAGCTCAAATTTTGCCGGGGTTTACTCTTTGCTTGAAGCTTCCATTCGGCGCAGAAATCCAGCCCCGCCGACATAAAAACAGTCCTCAGGCCATTGCTGGCTTCAGATCGCAGAGGTCGATTTGCCGACCCCCCATTGCTTGCCAATTCAGTGACTGAGATTGCCAAGATCTCATCCTCACTAGCAACCAGTACCGACTAATTGCTGAATCGGGATCCTGAAACAAAGAATAAATTCAAATTAAGTCTCAAACAAAGGGATTATCCCTATAACATCGAGTCAACGTCTGAACCAGCGAGACGCCGGGAAGACAACAACCCCCCGAGCAATAGCATGACAAAGGGATAGAATAAAGGGAACGCATCATGAAAGAGAGTAAAGATTTGAAATAAAACTTGAAATACATAAGGGCAAGAAGGCGTCCGACAACGAATTCACAAGACAAGAACACGGTGTAATGTAAACTTGACGTCGACATCGCGAAGATAGGAATATAGAGGCAGTCTCCCAACCCAAGATGTTTAGTATCCACGGTACTGAACTCCGTATCCGGGCTGAGGTGGTTGAGCAGCGGGAGCTGCTCCAAAGGCGTGGTGGGGCGCGACGTTTGCGGCGCCATGTGGATGATCATCGTATTCGGTATACCCACCATAAGGATCCTCGCCATAGGATACAGTCGCGCTGCGCGATAATCCGGAATTGCCAGCACCGTCAAGGCGAGACATTCCAGGAGGTGAGCGCGACATTTCGTTGTAGACCGGTCCAGGTGCATCTGAATGTATAGGGCCAGGGGCATAATCATGGTGAGGAAGCAGATCATGGGGGGGAAGATCTGGAATATTGGTCTCTATCTGGTTTGAACGGCCACTCCCACTTCGTTTGAGATCAGGCTGGCCCGTGGCCCGGGCACCATTATTGTGCAAATCGCTAGAGCCAAATGAGCCATGGGAGCCAGCCGAGGGATTGCGACGATGTGCAGCAATTTTCTCCGCCATAGGATCATCGAAGGCAGAGGGAGTCCAGTCGATGTTGCCATTGAGGCGATCCTCAAATTCACGCGAAGGTCTGAATTTCCACTTACGAATGACGGTCCAAATAACGAACGTCACGCCGATGGAGCCTGCAATGGCAACCAGAACGATGACCGTCCTCTTTGCAACTGTCATCGACTTGGCAGCACCAATCGCGGTCATTGTAGGGGACTGGCTAGTAGTAGTGGTACTCGAGCCCGAGATGAAAACCACTGCGGTGCTCATACCCTGAGTAGTGCTTGGAGCTTGAGTCGTTGATGTCGTTGTTGATGATGAGGTCGAGGACGAGGTAGAAGACGTAGTAGAAGACGTAGTAGAAGTAGTCGAGCTAGAAGTCGTAGTGGAAGTCTGAGAAGTAGAAGTGGATGAGGTCGATGTTGAAGGAATAGAAGTGGAACTTGGAGTAGAGACGGTCGAGGTAGAAGTAGTGGTGGTGGAAGACGGCGCAGAGGTGGGCGTATTGGTATTGCCACCACTCTAAAAGGGACATTAGACAGGCTTCAATGCATGATGATGCAGGTAACTTACAGAATCAGTACTAGTTGGATTTCCAGGCGAGGTTAAAGTGAGGAGGGGCACGTCCGGCTTTTTTTTATCAGGAGAACGCTTCCTAACATCACCCCCACTAGTTGAAATCCTCTTCTTAATCATCCTGTTGTGCTGGTGAATATTGATACCGTGTGATCCCTGATGAGCAAACACAGAGGGCACCAAAATGGCGGCCAGCGTAACCGCCAAAAGGAACGTAGCAGATTTCTGAATAATCTTAGTCATGGCTAATACGCGATAATAGCCCCTTGGTGAGTCTGAGGGAGTCTAAAATTCAACAAGCCCACGATCGCCCAGAAAGTGGTGGTGAACGAGTGAACAAACACGGGAATCAGTCAAACGACAACGTAAACAAAGGGAAATTGTAACATACGAGAGCAAAAATGTTGGAACAAGGCCCAAAGAGCTCAGCTCAAGGACGTTGGAGAAGGAACGAGACAGGTGGAGGGATAGAGAGAACGGTAGGACGGACAAGCGTTGCTCCACTTACACACAAAGAGCAACCGGATGCAAATCTGTAAATGTGTCAGGGCTCGTTTGTGATCACGTTCAACTTGCTTGGAAGCAGAGAATCACCATAAGATTATAGATAAGGAGTGAGAGGGAGAAATTCACATTTGAAGAACGAAACTATGGTCGCCTGCACCAAATTACCCAAACGGTCGGAATAAGAATGAGGAATGGACAACCAAAGAACTCAAAAAGAGATCATGCATTCACCGACAACCGTGAACGGTAGCCCCGCGGAAGGAGTGATAATAGATGGGCCCGGTAAGCAGAAAGCCATAATAAAATCAAGCAAACAAAAGGATTGTGATCACGAGTCAACCGTGCTTGAAGACAACACCAGTGATTTGTACTTTAATCCCTCTCCGGGGTGCCTCGAATTCAGACAATCGGATAACATGTATTAACTGAAAAGTCCACTTTCGGACAAACCTCCATTCTCAGCCTGTGTCGCCTGACCCCCAGAGGAATTCATGCTCTCGGGGCGCGCAGTTTGCCCGTTACCATTTGCTGCCGAATTTTCCTGAGTGAACCCATTCTGCCCCGGGGTGTGCATACCCAGTGCAGGATCCGGCATCTGCATTGGCATCGAGATCGGCACAGGGGTGCTGGGATGTTGTTCCTGTGGACCCGGCTGAAGTTGGGGTTGTGGAGCCTGCTGGTCAGTTTGCTGTCCAGGAACAGCGATAGGAGCTTGATCCCCTGGTGGCACTAGTTGAGTGTTTGTCGAAAGGGGTGGACCTGATTGTGGGTGATAGGGAGGAACGGTGTAAGAGACATATGGTGACTGGCTGTGACTGTGGCGTTGTTGACCAGGAGGGCCAGTTCCTGCGATGGGGACAGGGAGATTGGCCGAAGGGGTTACTCGCAATCCTATATTCGGGATTGCGGTCGGAAGTGAGGAAGGCGGAGGGGGAGGGATATTCGTCGTAACACCGCCGTGCGGTGAGGAAGTCATCGAGGAGACCAAGGGTGGAGGAGGTGGCGGCAACCCACTCAACTGATGGGATATCTCCTCGTTCTGCCTGCAGAGCATATCAGCCACGGCCCAAGCGGAAAACAGTACAGAACCTTACCGCCGCAGCATATCACGCTCTGCCTCCAACGCGATGACGCGCTCACGGCATTTCTCGTTTGTAATAGTCATGGCTTGAATGTGTTGCGTGGCTATAAAGGTGGCCTTGTTAAGCCACTTATACATCAACAATTTGAGGGGGCGATATACCGTGCGCGATCAAGCGAACTTTACTCATTTTCTCTCGGGCATTAGGCAATGCATTTTGTAGCCTATCATAACCCTCTCTGAGGTGGTCCCTCCGCTGCTGCTCAGCATTCTGCCGTTGCAAACGTGCTTCTTCAAGACGCTGAGCACGAGTGCTAGACGAAATGATCAGCAATTACGAAGATGAAAAGGATAGGAACACACTCTGTGATTGTCTCCAATAGTTCATTCTCTATGTCATCACTATCGTTGCTGTTAGCAGTGCTAGTCCCTGCGCTGGCTGTGCTCGAGCGCCTAGTTCGTCTGGTACTGCGTCCAGACATCGATCCATCAGTCGAGGACGTATGAGAATGACGAGGCGTCCTATGTACAAGACTTCCACCATTCTGATTAGCACCATGGGAAGATGTAGCAGTACTATGAGATGAGTCCGAGGTCGTTCTAGTATGGGAGACCGGCGGCCGTGACTGCTCGTGCGACCGAGGCGGTCCCATTCGGATAGGTAGCGACGCAAGAGTAGAATGGGCAGAATTAGGGGTCACAGGTGATGAGGTTCCAGTGCTCGCGCTGCTATCACGAGACGAGGAAGAGCCAGTAGTATACTGCAACGGGGAATGCATTGCGCCAGGAGTGGGCGGCCCGCCGGCACTCTGCATACCGACCCCATTGCTGTTCATAGATGCATGGGCATCGTACGCGCTATACTGGTTGACAGTCACCTGAACGTCGTACGACTGACCTGATGATAGCACGAACAAGTCAATTCGAAGAGCGGGCACCCATTGAACCCCATAAAGAAGCGTTCACGAGGCGTCGATCGGCAATAGCGAGTTCCAGGGCACGCGATTCCGTGCACGCAGAACGATGCATCATTGATTGTCAGGAACCATCATCAACAACGAGGAAGAACTTACCTGATTGGGCCGCCTCATAGCCGGGGACATTATTAGTGTGCATTGGATATTCGGGACCATAGTGCTGGGGATGAGGAATATAGGCTAAGTGTGGACGAGGGGGGACCCGATGCTGAGGCGGGTACTGGAGGGATTGGTGGTCTGATTGCTGGTGAACGACCTGAGATTGTTGCTGTGCATTTTGTGCCAATGGACGATGTTGCTGTTGTTGGTTTCCAGCTGGCGCCGATGAATGGTGGGGTATGGATTGGTGGGGCGGAGCAGGCTGGTATACATCTGGGTACGGACGTGATGGCGAATTCGTAGGATATTCCTGAGGATTATTTGGATATTGTTCGTGTTCAAAGGAACGCGGGTCGTCGCCCATCGTTATCTAGGGCAAGCCGACGGCGGATCGCTCGTCGAGAGGGCAATTTGGTGGATGGTTCGTTATTCGGGGCTGATGATAATCCGCGATGAACGTAAGGTTGGCACAAGACGAGTTGACGCCACAAGGTAAAAGGCCGATCACGGGCTAAGTCCTGGAAATGGTTGCACAATATTGTCCTTGATTGAGTGGAATTAAAGTATCTGCCAGGGACCTGGTGAGTGCTTGGGGAGGAACGAGGACAGAACACAGGAATGAAGACTAGACCCACCAAAATTCTTACGGCCTGTCGTACACGTGTGTAATGAAAAAAGGGCTTGAATGGCAAAGAAAAGGGAACTGCCTGAACGTGATTCGCCCGCGTCCCTATGAGTTGTTGGTGGTGTTGTCGGTGGTGGGCGCTTCTGCAGAGACAGGTGGGTGTGGGTGGTTAAGTAGGCACCCAAGGCCAAAAGAAACGGAACACACGGTTGCAGGGTGTCTGTAGCGGGGGCGCTAGACGTTATTTACTGGGTCCACGAGGCTAACATGTTCACAGGTGTTCCCGTCATGGATTATGACTCGGAAGCAAAAGCGAGGACTCAAGCTACAATTGCAATTTATCGCATCGTTCGGGACGCCGACGACAACGATCCACACCCGTATGCATCCTCCTCGCGTCTCTTCCCAACGCCCGCGGAGTTCTCGCAATCGATCCTCCGTAGACGCGACCTCGTAGTCGGATCACACTGCTTACTCAAATCGGGTATCGGATGGTTTTAATTACGCTTCAGATAAAAAGCTACCGACGATGCGGAAACTGCGATTCATTGCAGTAAGGGGCGAGGGGGGGAAAGCATCCTTTCATATTATATTTGATACAGAGATATGATACCTGATACACCGGGTGGTTAGTCTGTGAAACTATGACGGGAAGGGGGAACAGTGAGAACCGACGTCAAACCCCGCCATCAAAGTGCCAGTGCGACTCACACGTCACGGATTGAGTCGTGAGCAAAGTGATGTGATTCGGAATGAGTAGGTAGAGTTGTTTCAGCTTCGCTAAGGAGGTGGATTTTGATCGGTCGAAGCAGAAGTCAGGCGCAATAAAGTCCTCTCAAGCATTGTCTGAAACAGTGGAAACGTGTCGGTTTCTTTGTAACGTTCCAGTAAGGGAAAAGCAACGGGTTCGGCGTTAGCATTGATCTCTCTTTCCTCCGTCGAACTCGAGTCAGCTTCTTCATGGTCAAGTAAAGAAACCAGATTCGTGTCAATCGGCAACGCCCCCAAGAAATTAAGCGACTCGCGCTGTGCCATGGCTTCTCCACCACCAGTACTGAAAACATTGCTCACTTTCCCGCAGCATGGACAAACGTATCCACTCATATTCTCTATCAAGCCTAGGACGGGCAGGTTGACGTTTCGAGTGAATGACAGACATTTCAAGGCATCCGCTAGAGCGACAGCCTGTGGAGTTGTCACGATTATCGAGGAAAGGTGGGGATGAAGAGGTGCAAGGTGTTCCATGAGCGATAGATGTTCGTCCGATGTTCCTACCCGCACACCAAAGTCATCAAGCGAAAGTAAACTTTGACTCAAAATACAAAAATACTTGCCAGGCGGCGTATCTACGACAAGGTAGTCAAGATCTCCCCATTTAACATCACTAAGAAACTGGCGAATCATAGCATTCTTCTTTGGACCACGCCAAACAACCGAATCTCCTTTTCCTTTCAATAGGAATCCAACGCTCATACAAGCAAGTCGCCGTTCGGGCCCGTCGGCATACACTGGAACCCATCCATCCGTGCTCTGGTGAACGCTATGCCCATCCACGCCAAGCATGCGGGGAATAGACGGCCCAGTAAGATCTATATCTAGTATTCCCACCCGAGCGCTTGGACCGTGCGCATAAAGTGAGAGGGCCAACTGTGTCGAAACGGATGATTTTCCCACCCCACCTTTGCCAGCCAGGACGATAATGACATTTTTCACACTAGCAAGTCTGCGCGCCACTGGACTGTCTAAGATCTGCATGGTGGAGAGTAAGCAAATTTATGTAATTCAGTACAACGGTTGCGCCCGGCCCGGGGCACGCAAGGAGCCAGCATGCTAGGCAGGTTTCTTCAGCGGGACCATATGGTGGCAAGGCCGCCCCTACGACCACGATGGCTCTCTCGGTGCTCAATCTTCCATTTTGGGAGCAAGGTGCGGGAAATGTGATAGAGTCTACGGATGTAGCGCCTCTAGTTGTCGTAGAAGGCTTTCTAAGCTGGACTGCCGGCTCCGCCTTGCTCTGGGGTAAATTCGAAACGTACTTGAATGCACACCGCGAAAAACTTGGGATACATAAGAGGAGAAAAGTTATTTTCTCATCGTGAGCCGAATGTCCCAGACTATTTCTTCCTTATCTCGTTCTGTCTTCAGCGTCGGACCCGTAAGTTCGTTACACGATCGAGCATGCGAGCTATTTTATGCATTGAAGGGTGGTACAGGCGCGTCGACCTAGCCGTCTCGGTGATAGCTCGCTAACACACTTTCATTCTTATATGCAGTCGATTATGGAGAGGAGCACGCTCGCACACACAAACATCGTCGATTCGGAAGATTCCACCCAAAGGGACTCTACCCGGACTGGTCTTCTCACTTCCCTTTACATTTTATCGGCCAGAGTATGGGAGGAGCAACTATCACGACACTGATAACTCTTCTTCGCTCCGGATTCTTCGGCCGGCACAACTATGCCGATATGGTCTTATCTGTCACCACCCTATCAACGCCGTTCCGAGGAACGCAGTTAGTATATCATCTAGGAGAAAACAGAGATTCCTCGTGTGAGGGTCCGCGACTATCGGTTAGCGCCTCTGTCCAATCCTCGACTTTGCACCTATTCGCGAGATGGACTAAAAAACGATCACTGTAGGTCCGATCATTCCTAGCCAAAAGCATACATGCTATGGCATATGTCTCTCCTCTCTTGCCTTCAGGATTATTTCCAGATTTACACGCAGAATCGAGGGAAATGACTTTTGCTGAAACCCCTTTCAATGAGCTTTGGGAACAAATACAGCGCTCCAGTTGGACGGAGAGCAAAGATACTGCTTCATGGGATTCCACTTTCCAAGCGGCTGAAGAGAGTAGTCAACTCTTTTGGTTAAACGCCAAGAAAAACCCATCACGGACATGGTTTCGGTCATACGCAGCCTCTATGGTAAGCCAGTCATTTATTTACCCCAGTTCTCCTGTTGAGCCCCTGGCTGACAATCAAGTCTTTCAGACAGAGAGGGAGTCCTTGGATACACCATTCCACACTCCGAACATATCGAAGTTCTTTCCTACACCTGCTTTGTATTTCTCAGCCAGATTGATTGGTCGATTTGACTTCTCGTCTATCTCGCCTACCCCAGCTTTCTTATTTCCACCTAGCTCGGACCCTCCGCCTCCTTCCACACGATACTTTACTCCCGCATCTACTCCGTACCTATCCCCACTTCGGTCATCGACGCTTATTCTCTTATCCGACTCTGATGAGGACGATGACGATGACGAACTGGGCTACACTTCAGGACCTTTGTCTTCGAGCGTACCAAACGCCCTATCCGAGAAATATTACTCAAATGATGGTATTGTTCCACTTTTCAGTCAATGGCATCCGGGTGAATGCTCAACTTCACGATGTATTCACCATTCGACGGATAAGTCACCACCTCCATCCCCTCCCATTCAGATGAAGTCCCTACTAGACGAACCTATAACTGCCAGCACTATTCACACCTCACATGCACCAACATCACTTCGCGGTGCTGATACCAGTCTGGGACCTCATTTCAAGCCTGGGATCTTTCACGTGTATCATCTTGAAGGGTCGACGAATCACGGAAGTGTGATGCCAATATGGTTTGGAACGGAAGCAAAAACAGTTCTGGCAAGATGTTGGCGAGTGGTTGGAACTCGTTGATCAGATGCGGCGTTCAGAGGCTAGCGTAGAAGCAGAATAACTCTTCATCATCGTTCCTTTCTCGAGAATGGGAAAGTACGGGTTTGGCCACTCTCGTGTAGAATGTTTTGTTCTAAACATAAATCAAGGTACGCCCCGAGTTGAACAGAAACGGGCAACAAAAGCGATGGTTGTCTGTCTGCACTATAGCTCTGGAACTTCAACGCCAGGTGGAGGTCTAAACGCCTGTGCCTTTTTCCAAAGTAGATTAAGGAAGAATCCTCTCGGCAACCAGCTCATGATCCAAAACGACAATGCACTTGATCCAATACTCAGATATCTTGCTGGAGTCCCATATCGTTTGGGAAATACAACGGCAGTGGGGTTCGTAGTGATCCCTGCTGCTGCCCCGGGATCATTATTGAGAGGGGTGACAGCAGCAAGAGTATAGACTTCTCGCTTGGGTAGAGCCTTCGATACGACGGCTCGGGCGAACTCGTCGGTATCCATCGCACCTGGTGATTGTGAAGCATGCATCCTGCCGATGATTTTCGAGAGGTATGATTTGTAAAGTGATTTTTCAGGGATGTTATACCTTGGAGCCGCGTTTTGGGATAGGTCTGATAATAAAATAATAAACGTGATTGGTTTAGAGTGTGTTAGTATTCGATGTGATAACAGGGGAACGAACGGCAGGAGCGCAGTGGGATATACTTACTGCTTCGTACGCCGCCTGCTTCGATCAGCATTACATCTACATTGAAAGGCTTGCATTCGAGATATAAAGTCTCGGTGATTGAACGTAATGCAGCCTTCGTCGCGGCATAAACACCTTTGGGGGGGAATTCTCATCAATAAGGCACCCATAATGTGGAAGCGAAGGCACACCACAATCGCGGTGTGAGAGAAGTCTGACGTACCCGCGAACGGTATTGGGGCTATTGCAGTGATGCTGCCTATGTTAATGACAAGTCCACTCCTCTGGGTTGCCATATGGGGTACGATAGCACTTTGCATTCGCATCACGCTTATGACGTTCGTTTGGAAGGCCGCTTCTGTTGTTGAATAGTACAAGGTCAGTACAGTAAAATGAGTAATGATTACACACCGGCTTCTTTCGTTGAGACATCTAGCACTGGACCTTATTGGTTTAATGCAAGCATGTCAATTATTCACTTTCATAGTCGCGCAAACGATGAGAACGTACCTATGCAATGTATACCTCTATTTAAACATGATATGAAACCAATTGTAAGATCCGTCAGCAGTGGGGAAAGGCGAACCAGGATCATTACTCACGCATTGTTCACCAAAATATCAATTCTACCTTCTGCAGTGATGATCTCCTTCACAGCCTCTTGCACACTGTCCTCAGAAGTGACATCCAACCGAAACTTCTTCACGACACCTGTCCCGGCGACCGGCTTTGAGGAATCATCGCCAGTGACACCTTGGATGGAATGTTCCAGTCTTTGGAGTGAATCTAGTCTCCTTGCTGTGGCATAAACGATGCACCCTCGAGCTGCGAAAGCTTCGGAGAGAGATGCGCCTATTCCACCTGTTGAGCTTCCTGTGACGAGTACAACTGGAGGAGGCGTCATCGACGCAGGGAACCCTGGTGTTCTTTCGGGATTCTCGCGAGTGTTATTGTAGAATGCGAAGTCACGCCGAGGGGATCACCTTGGACAACCAATATCTAGGCCTATAGAGGGGGGTTCTCAGGATGTTTGATGAGGGCCTAGAGGCTCTTATTGTATGGGAACATCCTAGGACGTCCTAACAATTCAGTTTCAATTCAAATTTCCCTAGCATCAACGTCCTAGGACGTCTTTGCAATTCAAACAGAAGTCGCACATCCATTGCTATCACTGACCACCCTCTGGCGCACGGATGGTAGTAAGCCTTTCATTGGACACAAAATACAGGCGTAAATACAAGAAGTATTGGTTGCAAGAAATTAAGAGAAATTGTACCAAGAAAATACAAGAACATTACTGTGCTGACTAAAGTGAATAAGCTAATGCGCGGACTCAGTCTTGAATGAGAGATCTAAGTTATTATTCCTTTACCTAATGCGCGGACTGTAAATACAATCAGAACTCGCATACAAGGAAGAATAAAAAAAGGGTATTACCTCCACTAAATATTGACCCGTTTGACCACCTTCATCTCCGTGAGAACCAATTCAATTGTGGGGTATGCATGTCCCCGAAACAGGTGTTAATGGGCCCCACTGAGATGTCGGATACTGTCGATAAGTTGGGTATCCGCATCTGCAGGCTTTGCCCTTAAATACATGCGTGAGTGGCAACAGTGATACACGAGAGACAAAAGGAAATGAACTACAAAGGTAACTGGACGCTCTGTGGTCCAGTACCAAGTTGCAGGAGCGCCCCAATGCCTCTCCCAAAGCTCAATTTGTCCGGTCCGAGCTCCTCCAATCTGGCAGTGTCAGGGGACGGACCCCGGGTCCCCATGACCCCTCTCTATGGCCCACAGGCTAACCTGTAACAGCAGCCCATCTCAGGGCATAACACTGCTGTGGGTAAGAAAGTGAGAAGAAGGTTAACTTCTCACTTTCCCACAGTGGCCCAATATGGCGAAAACTTCCGGGGATACCCGGAAGTCACATGAAGGTAGGATCCAGGGACTGGAGCATGCAGCACACAGATCATGCAGTGTGGGAAGCATGTGTGGGAAGTGGAGCGGGTCCAGATGCGGGTCCGGGTCCGGGCTAAGTCAGGGTATGTACCCTGACAGGCAGTGATGTACCAGGTGGATTACTGCCCCTGACCGCTGTTGTGGGGACAAGTCCGTGCAGGTCAAACCAACACTTATCACACATTTCACCCCCTACTGCATCAGGAACTAGGATTGGTGGGTCGTGGTAATAGTAGGAGTTGTAGAGATTGTGGAGGTGGTTCTGACAAGTCCAAGATCGTCGGATTTGGTGGAGTGGTTGAGGAGATATGACTTGTTCTTTATTTTCATTACTATTTTCATTCATTCACGCATGTGACTTTCCTTTTATATTTGTATCGGACTCTTCCATGACAACTGTACAGACAGTTAGTTAGAGGTTAGACAGAGTATCAGCACCGTACTCGAAGGACCACATCTACCTGACTAGAGAGAGAGACCTACCCCCCCCCTAGACCTGAGCCACGAGTTTAGTTGGATAGACCAGTTACACCGCCTGTGGCGTTGGACTGCTAACTTCAACACTCCCCCTCAGTCCAACATCCACATGTTCCTTTAGCCTACAAACTCCATCCCTAGCATTAGGCAGAAGCGCTCATGCTTTACCTTAGCTAGCGACTTCGTAAGGATGTCTGTGGCCATGTCATTCATCCCGATGAGCTTGAGGTCAACTGTCCCATCTGTGATGCATTCCCTGATGAAGTGGTAGCAGACATCTATGCTTTTGGTGGCTGCATGATTTACTGGATTCCAGGCAAGCAGGTTGGCAGCGTGATTGTCAATATGTAGGGTAGTGGGTCCAGTGATTCCTTCATGCAATTCTTTGAGTAATCGTCAAAGCCATATCGTTTCCTTGGCAGCTTCAGCTGCGGCAACATACTCTGCATGTGTTGAGGATGAGGTGATGCTGTGTTGTTGCTTGGACATCCACGAGACCGCTCCTCCTGAGAGAAGAAAAGCATACCCAGATATGGATTTATGGTTGACCATGTCATTTGCCCAATCTGCATCTGTATACCCTATGAGTTCTCCCCCTCCTGTCATGTATACAATACCTTGATTAATGGTTCCAGTGAGATATTTCATGATGTGCCTGATTCCATCGACATGTTCTTGTCCGAAAGTCAAGGCAAATGAGGCCAGTGCCCTAACTGATGCACAGATGTCTGGGCGTGTCCCCAGTGCAGCATACATTAGGGACCCAATTGCTTTGAGGTATGGGTACGAGGAGACTTTTGAGTGGTCTTCTGCTGAAGTTGACTTGTAATGAATTCCTGAGGGCAAAGGGGTAATGACAGGTGTGCAATCAGTCATGCTGAAACGGGCAAGGATGTCCTTAATATACTGAGATTGATCGATTGACAATGTTCCAGAAGATATATCTTGGCGAAGTCGAATGCCCAGGATCCATGAAGCCTCTCCTTGGCTTGAGACTTTGAATCATGCACCGATAGTGTCTTGAATGGAGGTTAATAATTTCTCATCATTGCCAGCCAGGAGCTTGTCGTCGATGTAAACAGGGATGATAATGATGGCTTGTCCTTGTTTAAACACGAAAACTGAGTGGTCAGCATGTGTTCGCTGGAGACCAATTTGAATCAGAAAGTTGTGCAGTGTTGCGTACCACTCGCATCCTGCCTGCTTTAGCCCATAGAGCCCTTTCTTTAGCTTTGCGATTTTCTGCTCCTCCCCCTTTTCCTTGTAACCCTTCAGCTGTCTCATGTATATATCCTCTGACAGCGTCCCATTTAAGTACGCAGATTTGATGTCCATTTGTTGCACTCTCCACCCATGGCGAGCACAAATGGCAAGAAAGATGCAGAGGGATGCCGACTTCACGACAGTTGCGAACGTCTCCGAGTAGTTGATGCCTTTGCACTGGCCAAACCTGTCATATCCATCCCCGGCCATCGACTTCCGTTCCCTCCGATCCCTCCGATCCAACTCCGCTCCTCCCTCACTAACCTCGGAGCCCCGTATCCCGCAATCCTCTCGGCATCCCTCGATGGTCACCACCCCCTCATTTCAATTTATTACCTACGCCTCCCTAAGTACGGAGCCCCGAAGACTTCCGGACAGCTCCGACGTCCGCTAGCGCACCCCCACCTCCGCTGGGTAATACACTCGCCTGCCCTGCAGAGCCCACCTTCGGGCCTATCCCTCCTTTCCGTTTCTGGGTTAACGCCTGCCTTTCTGCTAACCCCGCGAACCGACTCGTCGGTAATATTCAGTCGGCTAATGCTTAAACCCCGTTAGCTCCGCTCCGTTCGGCTCCGCCAATTGCGGACCCGTCCCTGCTGTAACCATATATATATCCCACTTGTACATAGGTTACACCCCAGTAGAAAAATCAACTAGAGTTACCCCCTAGGTTCTAATTGCCAGTCAGTAAGTTAGGGCACAGACATGTCACTAGGCACAGCGCTCTTGGCAGAAGTCGCTGAGGCCGAAGCCCTCCATTACGGAGACATTCCTTCGTCTCGACCCTGGTCTCTGACAGTATTTTTCTACTCCCTGACTAGTACACGTCTTGTATGGCACCAAAAGTCCTTCGCACTCGTTCGCAACTACGCACATTAGTCCCCAACTCCGCTTCACCTTCCCCAGAACCCTCTCAGCCTGGTCCTAGTCGATTGGCGAGAAACCCAGTTGAGTTTCGAAGCTTTTCTAACCTTGAAACCCCCCTCCCATCGACTCCGATCATGCGCCCCGTTAGGAATCGATCACCAGTCGCAGACTCCGACTTCGGAGACACCACGGAACAACCCATAGATCCCGCCCACTTCTTTGGACTCGGTTCCGAGGTCCCCGACTTCGTCGACCCTCCTCCTGCTGATCCTCCCATTCCCACTGTCCCAACCACCGACGATCCCGAACCCACCTCCAACGTGGCCATTACACAATTGGCCCAAGCCATTGCCAGTCTGGCTCGTCACACCGGACGACGACGACGACGACCATCTTCTGCTCTCCGGACCAAGGTCCGCGAACCCGAACAGTTCGACGGTGTAGGAGAAATAATATTCAAAGAATAAAACAATGATCTATCAGAATAGTCAACGAACAGGTGACAAGTTCAGACGTTTAACAGATCTCATGATCTTTATGAGACTGGACAGACATTAGAAATCATTATAAAATATCTACACCCATGTAGTATGAGATTTAATCTACTACAATCATGCCTAGAACTTGACATAGGTGTAATATTCAAAGAATATATCCCTACAACAAGAAATAGCACATAGATGGCAGAATAAGAAGGAACATTGGGAAAGAAATGTAAATATCTCGGGAACCAGTAAACTTTTGACTGTAATCTTTTTACCATCTGGAAGGACTGTTTCTTAACTTTATCCACGGTTTTGTTTCATTCTAAAAGCTTCAAAACTGACGGAGATATCGCTCAAACGGCGAAACACCTTATAATTCATATATATTTATTTGCTAATTCTTACAAAAGGTAATGTGACTCAAGGGAAATATATTGGCGCCCGGAAGTCTGGCGGACCGAATACCATATGATAGAGTATTCCCGGCGCGGGCGGACAGTTTTTGATCGCATCAGAAGAGGAGAAAATGCTAAAAAACCGGATCTTGTATATTTTCCCATGATTCATCAAAACTTTTTGATTTTAAGCCCAAATAAATCGGAACAAAGGAATGATTGATGATCTGGATCTCGGATCATAAGCATGAAGTGATTCAGAAGTCCGCGGATCAGTTAATTAATTGGGAAGGCTCTAGAACATTAGTAATGATGTGGCTTCACAACAAGGGGTCAATTAGAGAACAGTCTAGAAAGTTCCTTTATAGCCGAGTCATTTCTAAAGATAACCGTTCGTAATTAAGGCGGTGTAGAGCATAGCTTCAGCGCTACAAGATCCCGCTGAGATCGGCCCAAAAGACAAAGAAATGAATTACTTATTGCTGAGTCATGTCCTAAGTCCATTATTAAGCTTACACAGCCCAACCCCCTATATCATTCTAGAACTATCTATAATACAAATGTAGCACATGTAACTAGTGCGAGGTGTGGGAGTAGAGAGGCCTCTGAAAAGCATAAAAGGCCACCGCTTCTGCCCCCT